GGTTTCTGATTACTTTAGAATAAACAGAGGAAGAACTGATAATAATGCAGAGTTTGTGTCAGATTTTGCTATGCTGTACCACAGAATCTGACTTTCAAATACTTTCAATATATTTTCACCCACACTTTTCCAGGAGACACGGAACAAAGCACCACCTATAGATACTCATCAACATGAAATATAAAGAAAAGGATGTCACAGTCTCACAGGTGTTGACAGGTCATATGTGGCACTATGGTATTTCCCACCAAAATGGTTGTTCATGTAGGTTCTGGCTCCCAACACAAAGATATATAGGTATTATGAGTGCTCCTGCTGCTGCACGTAAGCAAACCACTGATCTTAGAACTGATAGGGATAGGTCAGGTCAAACGCTGTGGACAAACATCCCTATGGCACTAATAATAATGTATACCTAAGTGAGAACAATAGAAATGCCTGGCAGAATACCAACTCCAGACCATTTAGTTAAGGAATATTACCAAATTAGATGTCACACACAGGCCCCAATCAACAGCCCAGTTTCCTGCCACTGAAGTGAGCCAAGAAGTAGAAAGAAGAGCCAGGGGAAAGGACAGCAGGTCAGTTCTCACACCCTCTGCTGTCTGACCCTTACACAGTCCACTGGAGCAGGTCACACCCAGAGATACCATAACAACAGAACAGCTTTACAGTGGCTCTACAATCAGCTGTGACTGAACTCCACACAATCAGACTGATGGAGGCAATGAGCAGACTGAGGAGTAGGTCAGAGAGGTTTTCGAGTTGGACAGTTAGCCAGATCAGACAAATAGCAACATTAGCATTCATTTGGAGCCGTGTTTTTAGCTGCTGGAAATGTGGCAGGCGACACTAAAAATCGGCAGTTTAAAACTGGCCCACTGTAGGGTCAATATAGTGTCATTGCAATACTTGGTTCAAAGTCATGATAGTTATTATTGACAGTAGTTTTTATTTTTATACTTTATATTTTTCTCTTTTCAATTAGGTTTAGTTTCCGGAATGTGTTTCCTTGTTTCAGTTTAGTTTTGATTGTTTAGAAATGTTTTGTTTTAGTTAAATGTGTATTAGTGTCAGTATTAGTTTTTGTTTTTGTAAATTATAGTATGGAGAGTATTTGTCAGGGTATTATTGTATTACAATACAAACACATTGACTCACAGTCATATAGACATCCCAGTCTCATTTGACCAACAGAAGAGTTGTTTTGATCCAGCAACCCTATTGTAATATCAAGATAACACCAACACTGGGTCAAAACACTCCATTGGTACTGGGTTAAGTTAACCCAGTATTGCGTTCGATGCTATATTGATCCCACACTGGGTACTTTTCTAACCCAGTGTTTTTTGGAGTGCAGGCTGGGCCTTGAGGTAGATGAGAGCAGTGAGAATAAACCAAAACATCATATTGAAAAATGCAATTTGAGTGAGTAAAGACATACTTCTAATATGTTACTATGCTAATAT